GAAAATTATGTAGAAAATTATGGAAAAAGTTTAAGGCTGAGGGTAGGGCTCAGCAGAGGTTATTAAAGTTTCCAGAACAAATAATAAGACAAAGAGGATGGAAAGTGTCAGGAATCCAACTTCAGGCATAGCAGATATGGGGACAACTATGAGAAGTGGCAGGGATGGAGTGAAATTAACACAGGACCAAGGGTGTTGTACTTAAATGCATGCAGGATATGAAACAAGGTAAATAAGCTTTTGCACAGTTTGAAATTGACAGGTATAATGTTGTGGGGATCACAGAGATGTGGCTGCAAGAGGAACAGGGCTAGGAACTGAATATCCAGAGATATGTGTCCTATGTAAAGGACAGGTAGATGGGCACAGGGGGCTGAGCAGTCTTATTAGTAATAAATGAAATTAAATCAATAGCAAGAAGTGATATAGAGCAAGACATATAATCTGTATTGAGGAATGGCAAAGGAGAAAAGACCTGATGGGAGATATGCACATGCCTCCAGAAGTAGTCAGGATTTGGGGAAGAAAATAAATCAGGAGATAGAAAAGACACGTTAGGAAAGGCACTTTTACAAAAATGATGGGTACTTCAAAATGCACGTAGACTGGGAAAATCAGGTTGGTAGCAGATCCCAAGAAAAGGAATTTGTAGAATGTCTACAAGATGGTCCTTTGATGCAGCTTGTAGCAGATCCCAGTAGGGAACAGGCAATTATGGATTTGGTGATGTGCAATGAGGCAGACTTGATTAGGCAGCTAAAGGTGAAGAAACCCCTTGAGGCAGTGATCATAATATGATCAAATTCACCCTGTAGTTTGAGGGAGAGAAACTGGAATCAGATGTAACGGTATTATAATCGAGTAAAGATAACATCAAAGACATGAGAGGGAAGCTGGCCAGAGTTAGTTGGAAGGAAAGCCCAGGACAGCAGGCAGTGGAGCAGCAACAGCAGGAGTTTCTAGGGGTGATTTGGGAGTCACAGCAGAAATTCATCCTAAAGAAGAAGAAACAAGGCAACTGTGGCTGACAAGGGACGTCTCAGACAGCATGAAAGCAAAAAAAAAAACGACGTGGTGAAGATTAGTGAGCAGCCAGAGGATTGGGAAACCTTCAGAAACCAGGACTAACTAAAAGCACAATAAGCAGGGAGAAGATGAAATGAGGGCAAGCTAGCTAGTAATAAAATAAGACTACAAAAGTATTTTTAGATACATAAAAGGTAAAAGAGAGGCATGAATGTGTAATGATTGCAATGAGGTCAGCCAGGTGGACCTCACAGAATGAGTGCCCTGATTGGGGCTGTTAATCTGGTTCAAGCAGGGATCCCTGGCTGACAGGTAAAAACAGAAGTGTCAGATATCCCAACACTCTGGGAGTTGACTCTGATGAGGCTGTACCACAGTCAAGGACTTTCCATGTGTAAATAACGGGTGACTTGGTGATGGGATACTGGCCTCTCTGGAGTTATTTCAGAGTGGACTCAAGAGAATTGGGGGCAGAGGTGAGAGTAGTGGTCATTATTAAGGAGAAGGTGCTGGGGAAGCTGAAAGGTCTGAAAGTGGATAAATCATCCAGACCAGATGGACGACACCCCAGGGTTCAAGAGGATAGCAGAGGAGATTGTGGAGGCATTAGTGGTGATCTTCCAGTAATCAGTGGAGTCAGGGAGCACCCAGATGACTGGGAAAAGGCTAATGTAACACCTCTGTTTAAGAAGGCAGGGAGACAGAAGACAAGAAAATATAGGCTGGTTAAGTCCAATATTAAGGATGAGATTGCAGAGTACTTGGAACTGCATGGTAGAATAGGGCTGAGTCAGGACAGCTTTGTCAAGGGCAGGTCATGCCAGACAAATCTGTTAGAATTCTGTGAGGAGTAACAAGCAAGTTAGACGAAGGAGAGCCAACAGATGATCTATTTGGATTTCCAGGAGGTCTATGACAGTGTGCTGCACAGGTTGCTGTTAGATGAGTCCAGTTAGGGGCAAGGTACTGGCATAGATAGATGATTGGCTGACTTGTAGAAGGCAGAGTGTGGAGATAAAAGGATCGTTTTCATTATTGGTTGGGGATCCAGCTCTCATTTTTGTGATAGTCTGATTCCTGTGGTACTGTACCAATTACAGATTGTTAATCTAGAAAATGGTCTGTTCTCCCAACTCTCTATTTCCTGTTGGATCACCAATCCTCTATCCATGTTAATATATTATCCCAACACCATAAGCTGTTATCTTGTGCAATAAAACCTTTATGTGGCACCTTACTGAGCACCTTTTCCAAACCCAAGTTCACTACATCTACTGGTTCTGTTTTATTTATCCTGTTTATTACATTCTGAAATCATCGAATAAAATGTCAAAAATCATTTCCCTATCATAAAATCATGCTGACTCTGATCGATAGTGCTATGATTTTCTAAAGGTCCTACTCATATTTGCTTGGATTTATACTTTCCCAATTTGAATTTCTGAGGGATCGACGTTAATTACCCTCTTCCATTGTAGAAGCTCTGGCTGTTTTTATATCTCGACAGTCACTTTTTTTCCCTCTCCAAGAGCTTAAGTCAATGTGTGATGGCGAGGGAGTAGGGAAGAACACTCGGGAAGGAAAACTGAGTTTTAACAGTTGAGAATGACTAGGGTCTGGAAAGGACCAACAAAACGGGGGGAAAAAATCCTGAAGACTTTAAAATCGTTAGTGAAACTGGTTTTAATTAGCTTTGGCCGCAAGCATTTTATCGAAGAATGAAAATCAAGTAATACAAAGCATAAAATCCACAGCACTAACTAAAGGTCCTTTAAATAGCATCTGAAAAAGAGAATATTTATTTCTATGATGATGATGCGGACTAAGTCGAAATGTTATTCTTTCATTTTAGGCTTTCTTACATTTATCAGTAAAGTTAGGATAATTATGCCGAACAGATAGCAGAAGTTTCAAACTTGTTCACTGAAACTTGAAAAACTTTTGCTTCAGCTGTTACTCTCGGTATGTCATCCCAGACACCTACTTGATACCTGCTTGCTCAAGGCACGTCTGACACTTGGACCCATCACCAACTCTTCGAATCCGCGAGATGGTGCCAACCGCCGCCGGGGGCGCGCGCGCGCTTTTAAAAATGCACGAAAGCCGGGCAGACAGTGGAACGAGATAGCAGGAACTGCAGATGCTGGAGAATCTGAGATAACAAGGTGTAGAGCTGGATGAACACAGCAGGCCAAGCAGCGTCAGAAGAGCAGGAAGGCTGACGTTTCGGGCCTAGACCCTTCTTCAGACAATAGAACGAATGGGTGTGCGCTCAAAATAAGGCAGCGGGCTGGGTGCGCGTACACACAGGTGAAACCGAGGCTGGGTTTCCGGGGCGAGTGACGTCATCTGGTAACGAAGTCGGAGTTTGCCGGTCGTTAGGAGGGAGCGCGAGGCTGAGCTGCGGGTGGGCGGAGGAGGAGCTGGGCACGCGCAGCCGCTAGTAACCGGCTGGAGCCCGAACAGCAGCGGTGGCTGGAGGCGGAGGAACCAGTGTTAGAACGAGTTTGGTGAGGGTCTGAGATTGGTCCCGGACCTTTCACATACCTTACCCCTACCAACTTGCTCATTACATCCGGGCCGATTCAAATCGCTGCCCTTGGAAGGTCGGGCGAGCAGCTGGCACCAAAACGGCCAACAAACGTTCTTCCGAAAATGATCAAGACTCATCACCGGACGCCGTCCAGAAGCCTGGAGACTGTGGAGGTGAAGAGCAAGGTGTGTGTGTAAAAGGAGGCGCAATGAGCTTCGTGCGTTGCCAGTCAGTAGTTGTAGGGGAATTAATCCCACAGCCCCGGCTAATGTTGGCACAGGATCTGTCAGCGAGCTGCTGAGGTCAAGGTTCAATCTGACGGTCAGATACAGGCCTGTTTCAAAAGGAGATTTTAGAACGATATTTATGTTTTTCTTGTGGTAGACGCGTTGTTTCTACGTTCTGTGCTTATTGGGAGTTGGAACAGGTGACAGCACAGTTCAAGGAAGTAATAAAGGCGTCAAGATCTTTCAGAGAACAGCCGGCGGCTGTAACAAGTTTTTGTGCAGTTCATTGCGTGTTTTTTTTTAATGCTTTTTGCTTTGTAAGAAATTTCGTAGTAAAGAGGCTTGTAAATGCCAACACAAAGCAATTAGCGATGTAACTAAAATTCGTGTTCCCATAAGGATTTGTTGGGAAGCTGGTTAAAATGGAAAGGGAATTTTGACAATCCTATGTAAGTTGATCGGTAACAGCCCAAAAAGAAAGCAGTCTGCACTGGATGCACACATTCTTATAAAAATGTTCTTGTTGTTTGTCAGATCTTACTTACTTGTGTTTTAATTTCAATATGAATTAATGTAGTTCAAACAAACAGAATTAAGTATATTAAGTTGTACGAAAATTCTTGCCTGGTTTTTTTGACGGAAACCTACTTTGTGTGCAAACAATTTGGCTATTTTGTTGTAACATTAGTAATCATTGCCTGTCTGAATATACTTAACTACATCCAAAATCTTTTCATCGCATAAATGGCTTGATCACCACTTCCTTAATTAGACCATGTTTCCTATGTACTTAAATGTTTATCTACTGATGCCCAGAGTGGATGGACTCCCAATTAATCCCAATCACAAAACAATTTGAATGTGTAAGAAACCCATATGTTTTTTTGAAATGGAAGGTAATGTCATATTTGCTTCAAACTGAATGTATTTGTAATTTATTAAGCAACTTGACAAAAGCGTTTGATGTTTTGGGGTCAGGACCCTTCATCAGTCCTGACTATATTGACTCTGCCTCCAGCATCTGCAGTTCTTGCTATCTCTGAAGACCAATGAAGATTTCTTGCATTGTAAAATTGTCTGATCTAGAAATTTTAATGATTTAAATGTCAGAAAGCTGGTCCAAGAGTTAGATGAAGAAAGGAAGTGGTGTAATAATGATCATGAGCTTCTGTCATTTGTTGGAGGAACCAGTCTGGTTCGCTAATGTCCTGTAAGGAAAGAAATTGCCATCCTTGCCTGATTTGATCTACATGTGACTCCAGACCCTCAACAACATGGTTGATGGTTAACTACCAACTGGATAATTAGCAATGGGCAGTAAATGCTAGCCTACCCAGTGACATGCATATCCCAAGAATGATTGATTTTTTTTTTTAAAAAAAGAAAATATTAAAGTGATAACCTTTTGTATATTCCTAGTTAAGTGATCTGATTCAAGGTGTTATTTTTAGTTTATTTTATTGGCTTCTGTTCTATTCATAATATTTTGGATGCATTGAATTCATTGCCTTTTCCAACTCTCATGGTTTTAAAATGCATGATATCCTGTGCAGACTTCAAACATCTAGGATATTGTCATGTTTATAGGTGAACTGGAGTATTTGCTCTTTTAAAACCTTTGTAGAAACAAACCACGATCACCCCATCAACCTCTGGATTCAACGCATCATTCTCCGCCACTTCCGCCACCTGCAATCTGACCCACTACCAAGGATATATTTCCCTTCCCAGCCTTATCTACCTTCCGGAGGGACTGCTCTCTCCGTGACTCCCTTGTCCGCTCCACACTCCCCACGAGCCCCACCACCCCTGGCACTTTTCCCTGCAACCGCAGGAAGTGCTACACCTGCCCCTACAACTCCCCCCTCACCCCCATCCCAGGCCCCAAGAAAACCTTCCACATCAAACAGATGTTCACTTGCACATCTGCTAATGTGGTATATTGTATCCGCTGTTCCCGAAGTGGCCTCCTCTACGTTGGGGAAACTAAGCAGAGGCTTGGAGATCGCATTTGTGGAGCACCTATGCTGAGTTTGTGACAAACGACAACACCTGCCAGTCGCGAACCACTTCAACTCCCCCTCCCACACCTTGGACGACATGTCCATCCTGGGCATCCTGCAGTGCCACAACGATGCCACCCGAGGGCTGGAGGAAAAGCACCTCCTATTCCACTTGGGAACCCTGCAGCCCAATGGTCTCAATGTGGACTTCACAAGTTTCAAAATCTCCCCATCCCTGACCTCATCCCAAGTCCAGCCTGGCTCATCCCCGCCTCCTTGACCTGTCAGTCTTCCCTCCCACCTACCCGCCCCTCCCTCCTCACTGACCAACCCCCATCACATGTCCCTACCTACACTCACCCGTACTGGCGTCATCCCTGCCTCCTTGACCTGTCCGTCTTCTCTTCACCTATCTGCTCCTCTATCCACCTTCTATCATCGCCTCCCCCCTCTCTCTATTTATTTCAGAGCCCTCTTCCCCTCCCCCATTTCTGAAGAAGTAAAAATACATAGGTTAAGATTTAAACCCCTCCCACCCATGGTTGTCTTTTAGAATTCAGCACTTTATTTGTTTAATGCGTGATTAGCACTGATACCTGGCTCCCTCTCTTTGTAAGAGCAGCTGCAATATTTTTAGAGCTTAACTATGCAATCTAAATGCAGAAATTCATATGAGACGCAAAATGACATTCATTTTGTAAATTCTATTTGAAGTGTTTTTCTTAGCTCTCTAAAATTATTGTTTTTCCACAGTGAAGAAATATTTATATTTAAAGAAAGTGTTTTTCACAATTTGTGATATTTTGTTCAGTTACATAGTAATTCTTTGGCTATCACCCAACTGAAGGCAAGTGGAGATAATGACTTTTGCCTCGATCTACCTGTAAATAATATATCTCAAAAACAAATGGATGGGTTTTTAACAAAGCTTGATATGCATTGCATGGCCAAGGAAGAACGGATTAGTTTAGGTGAAGATCTGGATCCCGATCCAGGAATTGTTTGAAGCATCTATTATCACGAGGAGACGGGATGAACAGCTTTATTTTCATCTCTATCACTGAATAGTTTTTCTGCTGTTAGTCTGTTTGTCTGTATTTAATATATCTTAAACTAATGGACAGATTTTGAGAAAACCTGGGATAAGGATAATGTATGGTGTTTTCCTGGAACCAATTTGTTTCTGAAGATGTGGATCTTGATCCCTTAACATTAAGGGATGGGCATTTTTGTTTTTGAGAAAAGAATGTTGTAGGTTATTTTATTTTAATGTATTGTGGATTGACTCATGCTGTCATGTAATTTGCCATAGCTGTCAAAAAGTGACCAAGTTTTTGGAACAGGTTATAATAGCCTGAAGCCCTTCCAGTGAGGTGGAAGCTCTAAATTTTTTCTTCAACTTTGTAGTTCTAGAGCATCAACGGGGCAAGGAAAATACTCTAAGAAGAGAGTTTTCAGACTGACATTGAACTAGCAGTGTGGTGGAGGTATGTGTTCTGAATGCCCTCTGCAGGTCACCACAATTTCTCAAGGAAACCTGGGATGAGAAATAAATGTTGGCTTGGCCAGTGACAGTCAACCTCTGAACATTTTTAACAATTCTATGATGTTGGAGGAGATTCTGAGGAGCAAGGTTTACAAGTATTTGGAAAGGCAAAGACTGATTAGGGAGAGTCAACGTGGTTTGTTGTGTGGGAAATCATGTCTCACAAACTTGAATGAGTTTTTTTTTTGAAAAAATGGCAAAGAAGTTTGAAGGCAGGGTTGTAGATGTTGTCTAAATGGACTTCAGCTAGGCATTGGACAAGGTTCTGCATGGTAGGCTGGTTAGCAAGGTTAGATCATGTGGAATCCAGGGTGAGCTGGCCAATTGACCTGAAGGTAGGAGACAGAGGGTGATGGTGGAGGGTTGTTTTTAGGACTGGAGTGTTGCTGAACAAAGGCACCAAGGGGTGCAGGTGCATAGTACCTTGAAAGTGGATTCACAGGTAGACAGGGTGGTGAAGAAGGTGTTTGGCATGCTTGCCTTCATTGGTCAGTGTATTGAGTATAGGAGTTTAGTTGTCATGTTGCGGCTGTGCAGGGCATTGGTTAGGCCACTTTTAGAATACTGCATTCAGCTCTGGTCTCCGTGCAATAGAAAAGATGTTGTTAAACTTGAAAGGGTGCAGAAAAGATTTAAAAGAATGTTGCCGGGATTGGAGGATTTGAGCTATAGAGAGATGCTGAATAGGCTGGGACTTTTTTCCCGGAGCGTCAGAGGCTGAGGGGTGACCTTGTAGAGGTTTATAAAATCAAGAGGGGTATGGATAGGGTGAATATCCATGGTCTCTTTCCCAGGGTAGGGGAAAAGTCTAAAACTGGAGGGCATATGTATAAGGTGAGAGGAGCAAGATTCAAAAGGACATGACTGATAACTTTTACATGCTGAGGGTGGTGCGTGTATGGAACGAGCTGCCAGAGGAAGTGGTGGAGGCGGGTATTATTACAATATTTAAAAGACATCTGGATGGTAACATGACTAGTTTAGGGTTTAGAGGGATATAGGCCAAATGCTGGCAAATGTGACTAGATCAGTTTAGGATATCTGGTCGGCATGGATGAGTTGGACCAAAAGGTCTGTTTCCACGTTGTATAATCGACTCTGTGCTGTATTGCTTTAATGTCCAACATAATTATCTGAAGCTAGTGGAAGGAGAAAGAAGGGCCTGAAGTATCATGTTGTTTAGGTTATAGGTTTCAACCACATAGGGTGGTCCTAATTACAGTTACCCTATAAACCTGTACCAATCCCTTCAACACCCACTCCGTTCCCTACCCCCACTCATCCACTCCTGGCTCATAGGCCTGATGCTTGGGCAGCGGGGCATCCGAGCAGGGACTCTTGGCTGCAGTGGACGTGGAGTGTGAACTCTTTCTGAGGCTGCAGGTGGTCGACTGCAGCTGAGTGTGTCCGGAACAGGGCCTTCTGGCTGCAGTAGGCCCGGAGTGGGGACCTTGCAGAAGTCCTGGAGCCATGTTTGGGACCTGGGCTGATGAAGATCAAGTCTATTTACGTGCTTTCTTTTTATTCTTCTGTACCTCCAAAATGGCATCAGTTTGGGGTGACAGCACACTTTTTTTACTGTGTTTCCTTAGATATGTGACAATAGAAAGAATGAATAATTTATAAATTGGGGAATTTCAAGAAAGGCTTTTATTGATGCACGTTATAATTTTCTGCATTATCCTCTTAAACGTAGCTATAGATGTACATACAGTAGTCGTCCAGAAGAACAATGCATATATGCCAATGTGAAGCATATTTGTTATGAGAAATCTGATTCATGATATGGTGGATATTGGGAGGAAGGACAGAGAAGCATTCCCTTTTAAAAGTTTGCATGTTGCTATTATAAGCAGTTTTGCATTGTGTTGATGTCTATCCTATTAAGTGTGTTATTTAGAAATAGTTCTCATTATTTCTAGTTCCTTCCTTTCACATAGCTTCCTAAAACATTTTACTGATGGAGCATGATTGAAGAGGCTATGCCGATCGTTATTTCCAAAAGTGTTGTCAAAGATAGGACAGGGTGTGGAGGTGCTGGTGTTGGACTGGGCTGGACAAGGTCAGAAATCACATGACACCAGGTTATAGTCCAACAGGTTTACTTGAAAACACAAGCTGTCGGAGCCTCAGTCCTCCTTTAGGTGTTAGTGAGATCGGTGAGACAGTGACACCAAATTTATAAGTAAAAAAATCAAAGGATTGCACCCCTGATGAGAATGTATTAAACAAACCAAAAATGCCGTTAAAACTTTAATCAGTTAGAAGGTTTTAATTGATAAATGTTCTCCTTGCATATGAACGAATTCAATCCTAATTTGTTTGCATAACATTTCTGAGTCAATTTTTATCCATTTGATACTTCTGAAACTAGCAGAGAATTGTTTTTCTCTTTCTGGTTTTATTTGCTTTCATTGTTATCTGGATTTTGTTTGCTGTGACTTTCCACAAGAAAGCTGCAAAAGAATGTTTGCATCCCCACAGTCCACTCCATTCCTATCTAGGTTGGATACGTTAGTGCATTCCTGTGATTACTAAAGAATGTCTGCACAGTGTAGGCAGTTTACTCCTGCTTTATTTCTTTTCACAAATTTTTATTTTCTAAATACTACTTTTTTTTTCTTAATCCTTTCATATAAGCTGCTTGATAGTTTTTTTTTGTGATTGTTTGAGAAGCAAGTATGTTTGATAGAGATTTTAAAAATTGAAATAAAACTGGTTTGTCTAGTTATGTCAAGTTGATTTATGCGTTTTACTTAAACACATGTTCCAGTAAATTCTTTGGCTGTTCTCTGGATCAGCCTCTAACTTTGTGAAGTCAATGGGAGCTGACAGTGTTTTACCAGTTTGATGCAGATTAGGGAATCCCTGTGGAGACTGTTCTTTGCAGAGTGACTCAAGGAATACATAATCTAAGGGATATGTATTCCTGTACATTCATTTTAATACTCTGTCTGAATTCCCAAGATTAATCTCTTAAAATGGTTCAAACACGCACTACTTTGCTTCAGTATTTCTTCTTGCTTTTTACTTATTTAGTTTGGAGCTGAATTTCGACGCTTTTCCTTGGATCGATCCAAACCTGGAAAATTTGAAGAGTTTTATGGATTATTGCAGCATGTCCACAGAATTCCAAACGTTGATGTTTTAGTGGGTTACGCTGACATTCATGGGGATTTGTTACCGATAAATAATGACGACAACTATCTGAAGGCAATTAAGACAGCAAACCCACTTCTCAGGGTTTTTCTACAAAGAACAGGTAAGAACGTTTTAAAGGACTGGTTAATAAGTTGACTCTTCAGGTGCAGTGCCTGTTTTATGTTAGCAGTGATAGAGGAAAGTACTATGACCAAAACAGATTTAAGGTCATGGACAAAGACTGATCCTCCTGGACTGTAATAGTGTTGGCTGATTTGAATATAATTAATATTTAAATATCTTGATTTTTAAATGTTTAACAATTAAATCTAATTAATCTAATCTTTAATAAATTATCCTTGTTTCTGTGGAGCTATTATTCTAATGCCAGTGCTTATTTTGTATATGCTAATCTGTTGCCACATTTGAATATTTTTAGTATTCTCTCATTAGGCTACATGGTCACACAACAGTTCCAGAAGTTTCATGCGAGTGAGCGTGAGTTGGATCCTTTAAGTTACCAGGTGTATGTAGCTGCACAAAAAGATTAGAGGTCTCATGGACTTAAATGAGTAGGTCACACGAAAAATAACAAAACACAAGAACCTGTTGTTCTTCCTATTCCCTTGTCACTTTAGAAAGGAAGAAATAATTATCTAATATTCACTTCCATTTTATGGCTTCAGATAAAGGCTAGACTAATAGCTTAATGGCTAACTGTGCTGATGCTAAAATCGCTCTTTCACTTGCTAACCCCAGATTGGAAAGGGGGGGTTGTTGCTTGAACTTTTTGAATTTGATTGATGAAGCACAATGGTATCAACACTGCAGTCAGGCCAGAAAAGAAAATTTAGCAATTGTCTCATTCAACATAGTCAAATACACAGGGTAAAACATGCACAGCTGCAATCCAGAGCAGGTATGTAAATGGTTATAATTTTGACTTAGTTAACATTAATGTGAATTTTTTTGGTTAATTCAATTGCTTTAGTTCTTTGTAGGTTTAAATATAATTTGCACCTCAGAAAGTACTAGCTTTGTTTTGAAATAAGGTAAAGGTAAATTTACCACAGTCCCAGAAGACTGCTGTCTCATTAGAGAGAGTTGACCAGCAATGGTTTAGCTTGAGGATCACCATGCTTCAGGCAATGGGCAAGGTACTGAAGGTGGGACTTTCATGGTAACCTTAGTAGGTATAGGAATTGAACCTGCGCTTGGCATTACTCTGCATCACAAACCAGCTATCTGTCAAACTGCACTAACAGACACCCCCAATATTTGAAATACCTAACTTGGTTAGTATATAATTTTGTTTATGTTACAGTACACCAGACTACTACAGCCGCAAGGCAATGTTGACATGGAAATCACATCAAATTAGGATGTGAAATTTGGTTCAAATTCTATTGGTAAATTTAAGATAAAAGTTTAAATTAAATGCAATGAGCAAAAGGTGAAAGATCAGTGGCAATCAGTTAAGGACAGGATTGGATTAGTAGAATATGGTTTTCAAATAGTCAGTCTAGGTTGCCTGAAAGAATATGCACTGAAGATTACCTTGTAATGATCTGGCTCCATTGGAACTTTATTTAAACAAGGTTTTCATTTAGAGAGAAAACAGAAAATGGGGGAAAAGTTTTGAGCATCATAGGAGCAGGAAGCCGACGGTTTGGGCCTAGACCCTTCTTTCTGAAGAAGGGTCTAGGCCCGAAACG